ATTTTTGGGCAGTACATAATTGGAATATTATTGCGCTGCATGTGACCTTTCTTAATAGTCTCACAGTGCCGAAACCATGTTATTTCTCCTCCCGCTCAGCCTTTGCTGTAATAACGCCATACATCAGCTTTAAATTGTCCACATTTGTTTCACTAACGCAAAAGTATGCGACAACAAACAATGCCATATCAAATTAAAACTAAATACGGGCTGATGCTGAAAAAGATCATTCATGGATGAAGCCTTGAAATGGAAAATTCTGATGGAAAATTCAGAACACGCTTCACCGTTGTTCTTTCATCTCACTGGATAAGGAAATGGAGGATCGTCAGCTTTCAACAAATAGTCATGAGTATATCGTGACGAGAGATACTCTATCGTCTTAATATGACCTCTTCAAATCTGGATTGACAACCTTACTGGTGCACCCGGTAGTTGGTGTAATAGCGTGTAATTTATATATATCTACTCGGGTGTCCCAATTAGTTGCATAAGATCCCGAATGTAGCATCTGATGAAAGTTCTATAATCATTGTACTGGTGTCACAGGCTTCTCTAGAGCTGCCCTTGCGGCAGCATCAGCCATTGTGTTACCCGCTCTGCTGACATGACTGAGCAACCAATAAATGACAAGTCGTATTGGCCAGTTGAAAGATCTTTTTATGGCTTTACAATTTCTAAATTGGATGAGTTGAAGACAAATCGTTAAAAAGAAAGACAGGGAATAGATTATATTAAAAACTGTTGACATACATGGACGTACAACAAGGCGTTAATAATAGCATGGGATTGCAGATACTACGATGGGGTAGTTTAATGTCAGCGCATTGCAGATACTACAATGGAAAGTTTAAGGGTCCGCGCATTGCAGATACTACAATGGGTAGTTTAAGGGTCAGAGCTTTGCAGATACTACAATTGAAAGTTTAAGGGTCAGCGCATTGCAGATACTACAATGGGTAGCTTAAGGGTCACCGCATTGCAGATACTACAATGGGTAGCTTAAGGGTCAGCGCATTGCAGATACTACAATGGGTAGCTTAAGGGTCAGTGCATTGCAGATACTACAATGGAAAGTTCTGTAACTCGGAATGATAGCTGTTTTGAACACAACACCGGGGTACTAGCTGCTTTGCCAGCGTACTTGCATCCATTGGTAAATATTGAACGGTGATGATTGTATTTACTTAGTAGTTGTAGGTATTCCTGTTGATGTAAACTAATTGGTTTGTATCGGGCATTTTAAAACTTGTTAGGGAAATGTCTACTTCTGGACTGACCAACCGCCAGAGAGTCGACAAAAGTCGGTATGGAGAGATGATATCAAACGCCGAACGTTTAGCCTCAATATGTGGTTTAATCTGAATCCAAAGAAGGGGAACCAGCTTTGGTTTCTTATGAAAGTGTTCCGCACAGACAGGATTAAAAACAGGGTTATAAGCAGGATTTGAAGGATTGGATCATAATTTAATAATGTACTGAAGGGACAATTTAATGCGACATTGTTTTAAAGAACAATAGTAGATGTTGGAAATGCATCCAATCATTATCTGAGACCTTGGATCATGTCTCTTTGTTTTAAAATTACTCTTGCAATGGAGCCATAGTTCCATTTTGTGCGAACCAGTAATCTATAACAGTGATGGAGAGTTGTCTGATTGCTTCCCCACTTTGTATTTGACACAATGTTCGACCGACTTAATGCCTTCAGACATTTGAGAAGATCATAAGGACAGAAGTATTTTAGAATGTTTTCATATATTGTTATTTAAATCGTCAAATGAGATAATAGCAACATGAGTTATGAAACAGACCCTTATTGGAAGTAACAAATGCAGGACATTTTCAGGAAAGCCACGGTTAGGTGTTGAGTGATAGTGGTATTTTAATCTTTATCCTTCTGTCACTGTGCAGACTGCTTTCCATATTGTCAATTTGCCTTACCGGTTGACACAACATTAAGTACTGACAGTGACGTAGGAGTTCCCTACTTGCAAATATTTTCCATTGGTCATAGATTATGTTACTAACAAAATAAATCCGTGTATGTTTATCCTTTATCAGTAACATTAAGTACACATATATTATGTTTGCTTTACGGATAGATCAGTTTTAGCCATGGCGAGCAAGGAGGACAGTGATGCAGGAGTTCCAATGACAGAGTTACATTGTCAAGGAGGTGACAGAAGTGAATCCACACCACAGAGAGAATCATGGAGCAGACATTTGGACTACATGCTGACAATGATTGGCTTCTCAGTTGCATTAGGAAACCTGCTGAGGTTCCCCTACATTTGCAACAGGAACGGTGGAGGTAAGACTGTATGTAGTTATTTCTTATGATTCTTGGAGACAGCAAATTGCGATACCTGTATAATCTGTGACATGATTCCATAAAACACACACGATCCAATAAATATGCAAATAACCATTTTTAGAAAGCTGAATAGTTTTAAGGCTTACATTCCCACGCTATTTCTGTGGAATAAGATTTGGATGTGTTTGTAGAAGAACATGGCTGTACGGTTAGTCTGCATCTTTAAGGACGGCATCAGATTAAACTCAGTGATCAATGCGATCGCTAAGATGAGGTCTCAACGCATCCTATTTTATGTTAGGGTCAATGGAGATAACAAATTGTTACATTAAATCATTTATGAATATTCTTACACATTTCCATTAATTATTATAATCGATGTGTATAATTCAAGACTGACCCAGTAACTGAAAGTTGACGCCTAGTATATATCATGGATGTGTCAAATATCATGGTGACTTTGAAGGTAACATACTCATAAAATTACCCCTTAAATAGTTCCATTCAGTTGAGAATTCTTGACATGGAATGGGGTGAGTTGGCTTGATGCCCCTTTGAACCGTGTTCCCTTCCTACCACGACGTGTCAACTTGATGCGGAATAAAAGCCTGACGAGATACGTAACCTTGAAGCATGGTCGAGTTTAATCATTACATGAACACATGACTACATATTCCCCCAGGAGCTTTCCTCATCCCCTTTGTCTTGATCCTGGCCATCGCTGGGTTCCCCTCATTCTTCGTGGAGGCGACCATCTCGCAGTTCTCGGGAAAGGCTGCCAAACAAGTCTGGAGCTTCTGTCCTATGTTTAAAGGTCAGTGACAATATTCTGACCAATACGATTGCATATACTATATACAAATGATAGGGATTCACATGTGAGCTTAATATAATCACTTCTGTTGGGTTATTTTCGTGTTTGAAATGTGTATGCCTGATTTGTTCCCTTATTATCAGTTGTTTACAGTCCATTGACAGGTTTTATATATAGAACAAAACTGACATTGATGAGAATACGCTTATACTACTAGGTGTCATAAATAAAGGGTCAAATGATATACAGCACATGTAAAGAAAAGTTTTTCAGAAATAATAGAACTAAGAGTGTCATCATAATGTTTAATGTGTCGACAAACGTGACACATCGTGACATAAAGACAAATGTTCAAACAGCACTAGCAAACAGTAATTGTATACACCAACCCACCAAAATGAAAATGACAAACATGAAGCACTCGGTCATTCAGTATTTTGTGTCGGACTTACTCTGGGACGACCTGGTCGACGTGCATATTCCACGGACCCATTGGTTCGAAATCTCTGCCACAGTCTACCAATAGCACTCTGACTCACGTTAAAGCGGACTGCAAACTGCCGCTCAGTTTGACCAGATACCAAAAGGTCTATAGACCCCTTCCAGCAAGTGTCAAAAAACGTCTCATTTTAACCTGCGATTTCAAACAGGTAACTGAACAGTGAAAAAACAGCAATGCATGTGTATTTTCTCCACTTTCCATGGATAGGGCGACATGCACGTGCAAATCATTGAGACTAAGTGGCAGGTTGACTTCTATATTGACAATTCGGATAAACAATGAGCCATTTGTAACAGAATGTATCGGACGTTAAAGAACGTAAGCATGACATTTGAATGCCCTGACGTGTTACTACCACTACTACTACCCGTGAAGGTCCGGGTTAGAATGTGCCTTCAGTAACCCATGCTTGTCGTAAGAGGCGACTAACGGGATCGGGTGGTCAGGCCTGCTGGCCTGGTAGACACATGTCATCGGTTCCCAGTTGCGCAGATCGATGCTCATGCTGCTGGTCATTGGATTGTCTGATCCAGACTCGATTATTTACAGACCGCCACCATAAAGCTGGAATACTGCTGAGTGCGGCGTAAAACTAAACTCACTACTACTACTACTACTACTACTACTACTACTACTACTACTACTACTACTACTACTACTACCGATGCTCTTGCCATAATTACCACAGACTGTGGGTCACAAAACCTTCGCGTAACGGATCTAACCAAGGACATCTTACTCAACAATGAAATGGTTTATTCTGTCAGCTTCCTTAAGTGTCAGCAACGAGACTTGTAGCTGGAGTTGGTCCAGTTTCATCTGAGTGAACGACTGTTGTTTGACGGTCAAGAGAATGTCTATCCTCTTCCATGAACCACATTCATGCATTAGTTAAATTTTATAAACATAATTGGCCAAATTTATGACCAGTCCGAGCCACAGTTGACAAAAGCATTATATTTCCTTCCTCGTACTGACATTCTTCCACGACGTTAACGTGCCATGTCTCGCGGTGACGGCTTGTGCTTGTCGGCGGCTGTTAATGAGAGCTTCTATATTTTACAGTAAGTGCATGAGCGCACTTACATTACGTAATCTGTAATTGTAACCAAATTGGAAGCTTTTAGCTCCTGCAGAAGCTCGGTTTGTGGCCAACATCAACATGACATTCCTTGTTGTTAATAAAAACACTTGGCCAGTGCAACGTAAATTATGATTATGCATATTTCGTCCTTTGTATATCCCCTACCGAAGTTCAGATCAGGTTATTATACATTGGCTTCTTGTTCCTGAAGAAGGCGTATAAATATTTTTTGTATTGCCAAGCAGGAGTTGGTGTTGGCGCTGTTGTGGTTTCATTCGCGTACATGCCCTATTACAACCTGTATCTGGCCTGGCCCATCTACTACATGGTGAAGTCCTGCTCCAGCGTCCTGCCCTGGACAACTTGTGGCAACAGCTGGAAAACCGACCTGTGTATTGACTACGTGAATACAACGTATAGCAGAAACAAGACAGCCCTTGCAGGGAATACGTCATATACCGTCACCAAATCCGAAAAGTGGGAAAATATGACTTTAGCTCACACACCTGCGGAGGAGTTTTGGCAGTACGATATATCTGTCATGTTATTTTTTATAAGGACAAGCTTTGTCAAAATATGTTTCCCGTATACATACATGGTGTTCATGTATATAACTGTCAGGTTTGATTAAAGTTATCCAAAGACCAACAAATTCATCGGAGTCGGCGCTGTTGTTCTTTCTGTTGTCATGACGGTCAAAGTCACATGACGAATGATATATATGATCAATTACATATTCATGACAAATAAAAACATCAATCGATTCACAAGTCCGCAGAGTAGTAGACTCGTGTTGACCTAATGCTTGTACATGATATTGATTTATATATTTGCCCAAATTATAAGATTCGTTTCTTCCGCTGCTCTTCGCTGTACAGAGTTGCGTCCCTTTGTCACGTAAGAATCCAATGCAGTTCATGTATACTCTACTGCTTGCACTTCTCACCTCACCTACCCTCTATTTTTCTTTCAGCTACAATGTCTTGGGTGTCTCAACGGGCTTGGAGGATGTGGGGTCTGTACAGTGGCACATAGTTGGATGTCTCTTGTTTTCAGTTGTCGTAATCTTTATATGTCTTATTCGTGGAGTCAAGTCTGTTGGTAAGGTAATGTGAACAGAAATATCACTGCTAACATCTGTACCAATGCCCTTTTAATATTTAATACACTGATTACTATTCAACAGAACATCCACTCAGATACGGATATATACTTTCAAATTCAGACCTCACAAGTTACAAAATGGGCACAAGTTTTTTTAGAACCAACAGGAAACAAAGCACAATGTTCACTAGGAGTACAGTACTTCAAGTCAGAGCTAAGTCATGCTTGTCGCAAGAAGCCACTGGCGGGATCGAGTTGTCAGGCTCAATGACTAATGACTCCCACTTTGATTTAATACCAGTATCACTCAGTGAGATCAGTGGTCCCGAACAAGGCATCCAATATCTTTGTCTATATCGCAATATCTTGGCAGGTATCTGCAGTGGTAATAAAGACCTGTGGACAAACAAAAGAATGATTCCATATTCATAATATTATTCAAAATAATCGTAGATGCATTGAAACCTTCACCAAAGCTATGAATATCTTTCCATTTGAAAGCTGAAAATTATGTATCTGCCACAAGAAATATAATTTAAATTTATCCAAGCAAAGCAAAGGCTCTGGCTGACTGTCTTTTGAATTCAAAGTCGATTTAAACTTACCAGGATTTTTAAACATAGTATTCTTCTTATTTTAATTTTGGCTAACATTTCTTACAATCGCCAACAGCTGAAGGGATGGTGTAAATGCAACTAGGCTCAATGCAGGTAGCAAAGGTACTGTAAGTCCCCATGGTCCCTAGTATGCTGATCTACCTTCAGTTGTTGGCAATCTATAGCCTGGTTTTATATTGTATTGTCGTGTATAGTTAAATGTTTTAGATTTGGTTACTAGTTTTAAATTTCAACCTGTGATAATCTAGTTGTTTTACTGTCCTTCGTTGACAGGTTTTTATAATTTACCTTTAATATATATTAATCTGTAACATGAATTAGTCACGATATGGCTGAAATATTGCCAAAGTGACTTTAAATTTTAACACACTCACTCAGTCACTGTCTTTCAAAGGGAGAAAAAACTTTAAAAGTGACTAAAGCGTTTATAAAATATATCATGTTCCATAAGCTGCTTAAAGCTGTTTGAAATGTTCTCTGGCATTCTTTTGCACTATTCACTTTTGTGTAAAACATTTTGTATAAAAGGAGGTGTGTCAGAAAAACGTGTACTTTCGGCTGAAGGTCTGTTATACTGTAATTTAAAACTTGAATCTTGAATTAATCAAAACTCGATTCCTAATATAATTTATCTTTACTGGGATTTATGTAACAAAGTCATTCACATGAGCAATTGAAAGAAATATCCCACATCAATGCATCCATATGACTATGGGGGTTATGTACGATAGCCGAATGGTTAAAGCGAAAGACCCGGGTTCGATTCCCTACATGGGTGCCCATCGTGATATTGCAGGAATGTAGATAAAGTGGTGAAAAGGCATATTCACTCACTTGTTCATTGGATTATGTCTTTACTAGCTGTGCTGTGTAAATATCCGTTATCTTTAATGTAGAAAACACTTCATTTACAAGCTAATAATTAAATTAAAGCTTTCTAAATCCAGATCATAAAGACGCCATGAAGGTCACAATATGTCCAGAATAACTTGATCTGTCCCTCCCTACAGGCTGTGTACGTGACTGCGCTGCTGCCGTACGTCCTCCTCATCTCCATCTGCATCACGACGCTGCTGCAACCAGGTGCTCTAGATGGCGTGTATTACTTTTTCATACCTGACTTCAACAAACTACTTGAATTACAGGTGTGTTTCAATTGACAAAATTCAAGTCTTTGCAATTCTATGTATTTCCTTACTACCCTCTTCTTCCAATCTTGATGAATACTGACCAAACACGCCTCACGTTCATTTATTTAGCAAATACAATAAAATATGTTACATTTGACCAATTTCTAAAATGGCATTACGTATTTATTGATAACAATAGTATTTAATTTCGAGTTTCTGAATTATGTAACGTGCTTGTGAACATGATTCATTTCATAACTTCCGATGTTTTCCTTCTATAACATTCTGTGACTATGTTGAGAATATGCAGGGCTATTCCTGCTTCTTCTGATGCTTCCAGATAAATATCAACTCTCTGTTTAAATATATCATACATCAAACGTGGTATATCTTTGCAGTGTGTGTATTTCCTCGGCTTCCAGTTTTGATATATACACTAGCACGTCATTACCCTCTACTGAATCTAAACCCTCTAGAAGTGATTACAACAGCAGGTCAAGTTTGAGAACCAGTGATATTCACAAGATTGAAGGTCAAACGTAACATCGCCACACATTTTTCTAGAGGAGATTTTAATGGAGAGTAAAATATTGCCATCATCTGTTATATCTACAACTGAAGTCATTGTTTGTCATCAGTATAATTGGTCAGTTAAAAAGGACTGTGTGGTCAGATGTTAATGACAGATCAGTTACATATATAACGGGATAAAAGAAGCCAATAAGATCAAAGCGAAATCGATCAAATCTGTGTCCAAACAGGCTTCACATTCATTATGTCCTGAAAAATAGTATTCAAGATAAAATCAACTCCCTGTTTAAATATAGTATCGAGCAGACCTCTCCCATCTACTAAATGATAATAGAAACAATGGAACTGTTTGACGATGAATTACACTACCACTTCACACAGGTGTGGCTGGAAGCATGTTTGCAAGTGTTCTATTCACTGGGTGTTGGCCTCGGGATGATTGGCACTGCTGCGAGCTACAACAACTTCCATGAACCATGTCTCCGGTGAGTTACAAACACATCAGTGCGGTAACATGACAAAGTATCAAACTGAAACCTCATATGATTAATTGATTACAACAGGGTTGGTTATTACTTTTGCGTGCATTACTAACAACCACTTAGGACATGGACGTTTGTTCTATCACTGCAATGTCAAGGAAACCTTCTCAAAGTATGCAGGTCACCTTCCGGTAGCATTATAAGGAAAAGATGGGTATAAAACTGAATTTCGAGAATCTATATTTCTATAATCACATAATCGTAAGACAAAGTCTCGCAATGAAACGTTACATAATTGGCTAATCCCACACCTTCCGCAAGATTAGAACAATTTAATAGTAGAAATTTGTGTGTTATATTTACAGAGACAGTATCATACTGACGATTGTCTCAGAAGGAACCAGTATCTTCTGTGGCCTGGTGACCTTTGCTGCTCTCGGAGTCATGTCACAGAAAACGGGAGTTCCCATTGAAACTGTTGTCTCAGGGGGTAGGTAATCTGTTTTTGTATGATAAAAACAAACTCCAGTTTTAAGAAAGAATAAAGGAAAGTATTGGGTCTTCCTATGTAACTGATAGGTAGTACTCCAAAGCTATAAGGCTCGTATGATACTTTTTGATCCTGAAAAGTGTTTTAAAGGATTCCTCCTTGCTGAATACAATGTTTCATAACTAGTTATAAAAGTCCAGTGGTGAATTGTGTTTGGGATATAGTTGAATCAGGGGGCACAGTATAAGGATACACGTTAAAACATGCAGTAGTATTTCCTCAAATGTCACTGAACATAACCTTCCAGAACGGCGGTAAATTTTAGATTTACAAAATGTTTGATTGTGCACTTACCTTGTGTTTACATGTAGATTATTTGAATAACAATAAACAAAAGCGACCAAACCTGTTCCCTATCCATAATAGATCCCTGCTCAAGGCAGAGTCGATTTTATCTAATTCCAAATATTTTCTGTTCTTATGAATCACTATGAAATAGTGATGATACTCGATGTTCGCGACAATGTGGGCATACCTTACCCCTCCATGGGCACCCGCCATAAACAAATGCTAGGCTAGTTAATTGTTTAACTGAAAAGACATGGTAGTGTATATACAGTAGCGTATGGTACCATTAACAACGGGAAGTGCATCAGACATAATTTTGTCATTGATGCATCAAACTGTAACATGTTCTCAATAAATCTACCATAAAACACTTCCTGACATCTTGAATGTTGTAACTTTGACCCAAGAACTTCTGACCAAGAGGCATGTGAGGCGGGATTGCACCTCAAAGGTTGTTAAATGTACTCAGTAAAGGCTGGAGGTGTTGGAATATTGACAAAGAGGAAAAATTGTCATCCCTCTGAATATTTAACCATATTTTTGACACTGAACCTTTTTGAATGGATCTAAATGTAATGCAAATAAAGTGGTCTCACTGATACATATTATTGTAAGTTCAGGTGGGTAAATCAATGGAAGGGAATTGGCTCTTTTATTGCTATTGACTGATAACAAATAATTAATATACCTGAAGTTTCAGTTAAACTTATTGGCAAAATTACCTACTTTCGATTAACAATAGACCCACGAAATGGCACGGCTGTGACATACAGGCGATGATACAGTGTTAATGATAACATATTGGGTAAGGTACTCAAGGCCCGTATGTAAAATGGAACCAGTCCATTGAGTATAAACTAAACGTTGTTGCCAAAACGATAGATCCATATCTGGCCATATCATACATAGTTATATATGATCCATATCTGCATATTACGTCTCTATTGAAGGACCAGGATTGGGATTTGTGACCTATCCAGACGCTCTTGCACAACTTCCGGTCCCTCAGCTGTGGTCATTCATGTTCTTTCTGATGTTGTTCATGGTTGGTTTGGATTCACAGGTACAATATGTAGCGTTCAATTCAATGTTCTAATTCATCGTGATAGCTGAGAAAAAATGTGGTCCAAATGTAACATGGCAGAATATTGCTGCCCTTTTCGATTTGGGATTAGGGATTCTAGATTAGAGCAGTCTACAGCCTATTCTGGCAGTAACGAAACTGAGTGAGTGTCAGTGCCTGGGGATTAAGGATTCCAGTTTAGATCAGGGCCATATTCTCGAAACGTTCGTAGCACTACGAATTCTTAACTTGGATCGTAGCCAATGTGTTAAGAATAGGCTTAAGTAGTTCGTTGGGCTACGAACGTTTCGAGAATAGCTAGCCAGGTCTCCATCAGCTTTTTCTGGTAGTAACCAATTGGGCGCGGCATCTTCTTTGAAGCATTTACTAGATCAATGCTTTGTCTGGTTCAGATTCGATTATTTAAATGGCACATTCACATGTGGAATAGTGTGCAGCCTAGGCAGTGCTGATGTAAAACAGCACCAAACACACAACGGATATCACAGACTTTTGTGCACATATCCTGAACAAGTTCATAAAATTTTATTTCTCTCCAAAGATCTATCTCAAGCTGAGCGTGGAGTGAAAACGCACAAACAATAATTACTGATTACATGTTCAGTATATTATCTACAAGTAGCAATGCCATTGATGGAATATGTCTGAAGGTTATGTTAAACGACATTTCCAGCTCAATATCGCAATATTAACAATGGCATTCAGAGTAAAATACAACTGGACGACACTGATGTTTATGAACATATTACTGGCTTGCATCGAACTACACCGTCCACTGTTGTCCTTCCAGTTCCTGAGTACTGAAGTCATTATTACTGCCCTGATTGACCAGTATCCGCAGCAGCTGAGCAAGAAGAGGATGTTTCTGACAGGAGGATGCTGCCTGACAGTATTTCTGATTGGACTCATCTTCTGTACCCAGGTCACTATGCTTACCTGTTGAACAATTCAGTAGGACAAAAAAGGTCATTGTTGTGGCAGTGGTACATGTGTTTGAAGACGAAACGATTGTGATAGTTGTAGACCGAGTAGCCGTAATGTCAAGGGCAAAAGCAGCAGCTCTCCAGCAGCAGCAGCAGGAGTAGTAGTAGTAGTAGTAGTAGTAGAAGTAGTAGTAGTAGTAGTAGTAGTAGTAGTAGTAGCAGGAGTAGTAGTAGTGGTAGTAGTAGTAGTAGTTGTTGTTGTTGTTGTGACAGTAGACGTTGGATATTGTTTGAAAGACGATATGGACTTCCTATTGCAGGGAGGGCCATACATGTTTCAGCTGGTCGATTGGTATGTGTTGTCTCTCGGACCCATGGTGATAAGTACAATGGAGTGTCTTGTCGTGTCGTGGATATATGGTGCGTACATCAATTTATATGTATCAAGTATATATGCTAACTGTTAAAATTGACTCAATGGATCAAATGGTCATGATTTAAGTTTTTGTATGTCATCGGTCATCGCTGCTCATAATATAAATCACTGGATTGTCTGGTCCAGAATGGACTTACAGGTTACCATAAGAAAATGTCTTTCACCCGTGGTTTTCTATTCCTTTCATTTGGATACAACAGTTCCTTGAAAATATTTACTAAACAACTCATTTCATAAAGAGAATAAAGGTTTTAGAAGTAAAAGATCTCACAAAGTTGATGGAATCCTGAAACTCGTTCTCTGTACCTTTTATTTGTTGAACAAGTTGGGGGGGTTTTCCGTTGCTATAAGTATGTCTTCAAGACATATGTTTAAGACAGAGACGTATTCAAACTGATGATAAAATGTCCTGATCGTAGATCACGATCTATATACTAATCACACTTTCCTAAGGATCACAAGAAATCAAAACTTTACTTAAACGTAGATTTAGAATTTGAAAAAGGATCCATTTAAAACTGGATAAATAATGATATGGTAACATTTCTTTAGGAAAACAGCCACTTTAAGATAACCGTATGCATTTTATACATGAGTAACCATAAAATGGTTTTCATGGCACCAACCAACCATTTTGCAAATCATGGCACGGGTCATTGACAAGTACACAACACTTTTCAATAGCAGGTAGGGGATCCACAAGATGCAGTGACATACTGAAAACTTGGATCCATTACAATAGGCTTAGATATATAAACCACATTTGACCCCACACCATAGTTTTCCTGTTGAATCAATATTTGATCCTTAGCAAAGTGTGAATAGTATAGTTCGTCACTGTATCTTTAAACTTCAAAATTTATTAACAAGAAAAAGGACATCGTACACATATTACTTGGATTGTTTGGTAGAGAGCAAACCGGTAGTAGCATAGTCATAATGTTGGTAGAGTATAATATTAATACAATTGCACAAAATAATATGTTATGAACACACATGAACTTACAATGTTTGTCTTCAATGTGAACATATGTGTAAACATATGTTCCGTCAGGTATAAGACGAATCAGTAAAGACGTTGAGATGATGATTGGCAAGCCACTGCCGATGCCTGTAAAGATCCTCTGGGCTCTGGTAACGCCGACAATCTTGATAGTAAGTACAATACAGTTGCAAGGCACAATCATGGCTTTCACGTCTCAAATAGACATGTGGTACATACTTGCTTACAAAGTATGTGAAAGAAGCTCATCATTATTATGATAGCATATGACTCGTCTGAGCAGCTTTCCAACCACCGCCACCTCGTTGTATGAATATTGTATATACAGTCTGTTATTAAGTGCTCTTGGACCTGTTCCATGGTCCCCAGTATGGTGATCTACCTTCAGTTGTTGGCAATCCAGAGCCTGGTTTTATATTGTACTGTCGTGTATAGTTAAGTGTTTTAGATTTGGTTACTAGTTATAAATTTCACCCTGTGATAATCTAGTTGTTTTACTGTCCTTCGTTGACAGGTTTATATAATGATTAATATATATTAATCTATAACTTGATTTAGTCACGACATGGCTGAAATATTGCCAAAGTGACTTTAAATTTTAACTCACTCACTGTTGCCATTACAGGCTTCTTCATGATGTTGTTAAATACAAAACATTCCCATACTCAATCACCATAAATCACGATTTAGAGTCTATCCGTTGTGTGCGTTTATCAGATTATATACTAATCATATGAAAATAAAATCATACGGGGACTTGACTAAAAGCTTAAAGTTAATTTGATGTTAGAACATCGCATTAACAACACGACTTTAAGATTAAACTTTATCTCAATAAACACGTGTTTGGAAATATACCGGCCCCAAATACACACTAATAATACTTGTTACCCTTTCAAAATCTACTTGTGATATCATTGTTTCATATCCAGATCACTTTCATCTTGACACTTCTCCGCTACCAACCACCAACCTACGGCAAGTACAAGTTTCCTAGCTATGCTTCTACAATCGGCTGGATTATTGCAGTGCTGCCCCTTCTACCGATACCAGTCTACATGGTCATGACTGTCAGGAAGCACATGGCGACCAATTCCCTGAAGGAGGTAGGACACACTTGTTCTTAAACTGTATCGAATATTAAATAAAGATATTAACATCAACCCTGCATCGCAATGTTAACACTGACTGACTGACTGAGTTTAGTTTTACGCCGTTTTTAGCAATATTCCAGCAATATCATGGCGGGGGACACCAGAACTGGGCTTAACACATTGCGCCCATGTGGGGAATCGAACCCGGCTCTTCGGCGTGACGAGCCAACGCTTTAACCACTAGGCTACCCCACCGCCCCAGCAATGTTAACATGAAATGTAGACTACGCTATGGGCTCAACTGAATTGTCCTACTCCTAGTCAGTGGATGTCCTGCGCTGGTCCCCGTGGTTGGGTTTTTTTGCAGTAAAAATATCGTTAGGTTCAGGTTTTAAGAAACATTCTCTGATCATTATGTTTTTCACATATTTATTAACTTCTTTGAGTGGCTTTTTGGTAGCTGGGAAGTACAATATAGACAACATTTATGGATAGCAACTTGTTTATTTCGTGAGTGCAACGTTTCGATACAGATTCTTGTACCGCTGTCAAGGAGGAATATATTGTATTTAAGTTGGCTTTTATTAATATGTAGTCTCGATATTGCTGAAATACTGCCGATGTGGAATTTTAACCCACTCTCTCACTCATTCACCAACTCACTCCTGTTTTGGTCCAAACAGTATTTAACACGACACGATGGCCTATTTCGCCGTGCTTGTTGATTGGCAAATGTCCACAGTAAGACCAAGAATATGAAGTGTGCTGAATGGAAATTGATTACTATAACTTTGTGGCCCATGCAGGAAGCATATGTACTATTGTCCCCATGGTCTCTAGTATGGTGATCTACCTTCAGTTGTTGGCAATCTATAGCCTGTTGTTATATTTTACTGTAATCTATAGTTAAACTGTTTTAGTTTGTATTACTAGTTTTAGATTCATGTCTGTGATATTCTAGTTTTTTTACTGTGCTTTGTTGACAGTTTTTTATAATTTACCTTTAAATAGTATGTATAACAATTAATTGTTCTCGCCACGATATCGCTGAAATATTGCCGATGAGGCGATAATTTTTAAATCACTCACTCACTATAACTTTGTTCTGAATAGACCCAGCATCAGTCGTGTTCAGGGTCATCCAAGCCTGATCTTGTCCTTTATGATATGGCCAATAAAACAGGGTGCTATACATATACATGATATTGTTGAGCTCTCAGTTGTATTAACTATTAGCACAGTTGCTAAAGTGTGGATCGGGCGACGATCTGATAGTATAGGGCGCTTTACCCTAGACCCCAAAACTTATGATTTTGATTCCCAATTGAGCTCGATTTCTGTGATGACAGTTGTCAGTGTTGTGTGTTCTCTTTTACAAATGTACTAACTGTAAAGACCCTTTGACGTCACACCAAGTCATCCAAACCTTGGGCTGTCCTTTAGGTCATTAGTTTGCTACTGCTTCCGTACCACTCTGCTTTTAACCAACTGGTGTTCAGCTGTACAACGCTTTAAAATTTTTATAATGGATACGTTGAGAAGCAGGGTAACGGAAACGTCAATATATGTTTCCAGTTTGCAAACTAAGTACAGATGAAAAATCAAACCGACAAGCCAATTTACATATATGAACTAATGAAACGATATATGTGATAGGAATTCGCTTTCGTTGACAGAGTGTACGTCTTGCCTTGAGACCTGATGATGAATGGCAACCTGCGAACTCCAGAAGCCGGCAGGATTCCATTGATGATGAGTCCACAACATAACAACCACCTCCCAAGACTACGCTCACGGTGCTGTTCAAACAAAAACATGGAACATTAACGTTTCAAGCCGTCAGACTCAGTGCACTAACAGTCCATCGCGACAATGTTAATATACTATACTTGCCACCTCTCAAGTACGGCCAATCATTCCCATATTACCATTTGCTGATACACAGAAAATTGAAGAGGCATTTTCTGTTGGTTGCGTTTATACATGTATGTTCTGCTTATACGCTTTCCTTTGTTGTAGCTATACAGAGTTATACAAAATAACCCTGAGAAAATTATTTGTCAAGTGAAAGATATCAGGGCTTTCACAGAGTACTCACCTATTCTCCCCCGGCATTTTCTTATAACGATACCCGAAAGAGTGTAAGAGTCGCCAGAGTGTGTACTTTGATACTCTGAGGTTGTGTTCTTGCTTCAAATGCTTTTAAACAGTTTCAGCGACGTGTATTTGTTTTCAGAATAGAGCTTGTTGATAGACTGCCTTACAAGGTTCTTTTGAAAGTTGTCCAAATATTTTAATTTGTGTGATTTTGACACGACCCCTACCGGCTTCGCATCACCCTCACAATGTTTGTGTTCCAGAACATTTGTCAGTACCCTTGCTGATACTCCTAAAGCTTTTGCTGCCCGCTTACGGAATTTATTAATGGCATAAAATGGTTTGCCACTTTCGGCTTCAGCACGGAAAAAATCGTACACTTTAATCATCAACTGTTTCACGTCAGCATTCAACTTCATTTTTCATCAGGCATGTGTATCCCGTGCACAACGAGATAGTGGCTGTTCCATTTCTGTGGTTTCACCCCGCCACGACAGATAACAACTTTTGCATTTTCAATGATGATAGTTTCTGAAACAACTATTTTGGTGGAGTCCGGAAAATTTTCAAATATAAGAAAGCTGTTGGGTATTAGTAAATGATAAACATGTGTACTATTTATATTTATGTGGCAATTTTGTACAATGATAAAATTTGCAATTCATCGGTCCGTTTCTGACTCAAACGGACTGTAGGGGTTGTCATGTCATCTCTTTTCGTCGTGTTTTCCCGCTCGCTTTACCAGGATCTGGGAGGAGCGTTGTTGAATTCTGTGATTCGTAGAACTGAAGAACTGAAGATTTAATCGAATTTTGTTTTGTCGAATTTGCAACTGAAAAGGCAGCTTGATGTTTAGAATACAAATTTGAGCCTTGTTCAACGTTTACAACCAAATAAGGGGCAATGCGACCCTGAAGAGATTATTTTACTGTTGGATAGAGAAAAGTGTCATATCTCAAGACGACACTCAAAATACCCCTTCAATTCGATTTATGACTTGTTTTGCCATAACAAACACACACACACACACACACACACACACACACTGTAATCTTTGTTGCTTAACGCTGCGCACAGCAATATTCCAGCTATATGGCAATGGTCTGTAAATAGACAAGTCTGGACCAGAGAATCCAGTGATCAATAACATGAGCATATGTGCAATTGAAATATCATGACATGAGAGTTCTGTAAACATTAACTTCTGAGTTGATATGGCCGTCAGATCATGATAATGGTCACATGATATCAACCCCCCGTATTGTCAAATCACGATGAAGTATGTTCCCCAATCATAACTGAATTTTATATACATGTACTGTATTTGTATTAAAAAGTTAGTGAAGCACGGGCCTTTCTTGACGTGCGTAAATCCCAGATCAGTTTACAAGTTCTCTGAACGAATTGCATTATTTAGTAAAGTCTAACTTTGGAACGTTTGTGTTTTGTTACATTTATTCAGTTCTTCAAAAATCTGTATTTGTAACAAATAAAAAGTCATATTCAATTTGGCCCATTTCATAGTTTTCATCAGCGATCGACCATTTGATATTTCGAGCCTAAATATTTATTTATGAGAAACATCTTGCAACAATGTTAGTCAGCAATCGTGCCTTATTCCACAGTCTAGAAGCATTAGCATGTTTTAAAGCATTTTTAGGATTATTTATTATTTTCATCAAATCCCTCGGAATAAATAAATGGTTGATCTCTTGTGGTTAACAGATGATTGCAGAAGAAAACTCATTGTGAAAAAACCCATTCAAGTCAATATGAACAGCCATTACGACAAGCCTATGGATCATCTCTGCATATACAATTAAGTTCATTCAGAAGATCGCAGAAGAATCTCCGTTCGTCATCAAACTTACAAAGACAAAGAATGTACTGACAAATATAATTATATTGCATTGTTAGATGGTGGGTAGTATGAGGTTTTCAGCAATACAGCACAATACATTGCTTTGGTGCTGCTCAGCCCAACGTATAAAGATTAATGGAGACGTATATAGTGTAGCGTTTATATGCTTACTATATGCTACAAAAAGAACAAAGGTAAATAAAAACATCCATACACGAAAAAAGTAAAGGACAACTTAAACATCTTGCCTCACTTTAGAAAAATGAAACGTTTCGAGTGATGCATAGGACCTCTTATCACAAGGTAGTACTGTAAAGTTGGTTATTAACTAGACTTTCATGTAAGAGGCCAATTATATCCGTGGAAAGTGTGCATGTAGGAAATGCGTGCATATCTTGAAATTACCATACGTTTTAATATGCAATAAAGTTATTTGGTTTGGACGAAATGTCTTTCCTTGTCAATACCAAGGATGATGCATGTATAGGGAAAGGGCATTAATCACCAGCACTATTACAAGTTATGGCCTCAGTTGGAACGAAAGGGACAGGGAAACAGTCATCTTTCAACCTTCAGACTGTCACACGTCTCACTCAGTATCGTGTATACCTACCAGGCACATCAATACACGCCCTAACACGAAAGCAGATGATGTAAAACGTCTGAACAGAACAATTGACTGAAAGTGTTCTCCCAAATATAACATAATTTATGTTCTCTATGTCAATATTGTTGAAAAATTACAGTATCAAGATCCATCTTCAGACAATCATTTCTTTAGCGCTTTGCTCTGTCTCACTCGAACGTCATCAAGACTACGACGAACTTGACTAAATCCGTGTTACATTCACGCGCGGTTTAATTTACGGGTTTAATTTAGAGGTAACCACAGTCTACATTCACAACACTATAATTTGCCTTTTCGTTGCGTTTATTGTGCTTTCTGTATTTTCACTTCTTGAAATCAAACATACAAACGTGTTTCCCTCACAATCAAACGAGATTAATTAACAAACCACCATGTTACAAATTCGAATATATATATATATATATATATATATATATATATATATATACCTTTCTTCAGGTGCGGCACATGATTAAACATTGTTTTTATCACACATAAACGCCATATTTTGACAATGATAATACACACGTACATGCAACCTGTTAGACAGTAAACTGTAGTTATGACTCGTGAGTGTTCTACAGATTTTATGTGCTCATCAGTAAGGTTTCTATCTAATATTTTAGTGGTATTAAAAAATAGAAGAATTTTTTTAACTCCCTTTGACCCTAGAGGAAGTGACTGTACATGTGCTTTAATTTGGGGTCTCCTCATAGTGCAGGCACCTTTTGTTCATAATTACTGAAGCAATCAGGCATGTCAAATAGCAAAACAAAGAGATTACTTGGGGGACCATATCAGTGTAAACAACAAAAGTTTAAACTTTTATTTTTCAATACAATAACATATATATACTGAACAGCAAAAGAAACGCAAGTTTCGAAAAAATGAAATCTCATGAAGGTAAGCGTTCAGGTTTATGGAACGCTCATGGTAAAGTGACGTAATGATCCCAGATGAGATGATGTCATGCAGTTTGACGTCCATACGAACCATTCGCACAAACACACGAACAGTGCAGCAAAACCATCATTTTAGCACGTGTATCTACGGTTATTGATGAAAAGCAGTCATTTCACTCTGAGGTATCATTTATAAAGGTCTATGTCAAAAAACAGTTCAGTATTGACGCTAGGAGGTGTACACGCCACACAAACGATACCTACACTAACGACAGAGCAGAAGGGAATGGTCATTGGAAAGTTTCACGGAGGTAGCTCTGTAACCGCTGTAGCTAGACAATTTGGCTATAATCTTACCACCATTACACGACTTGCTCAACTTCATCAGCAAAGAGGCTTGCTGCTGATCGTCCCCGTACCGGACGGCAACGAGTGACAACTCATGCGCAAGATCGGTTCATCCGTGTCACTTTGCTAAGGAACCGAACTCAAGCAGCAACAGTAACAGCAGCCTTAGTTCTTGGGTCAAGGGAAGCAGTGCCAAGCGATACGATTAGGCGTCGTCTTCGGGCTGCTGGAATCCACTGCCGAAGGCCTTATGTGGGGCCAATTTTGGCACGTCAACAACGCCAGCGACATTTGCAACCCTCACACAGCAAGGGTGTCGATGGATTCTCTGGCTCAGAACAACATTAACGTCTCTTTCCCCGGATATGGCTCCCATTGAACATTCTGGGACAAAATTGGACGGAAGATTGCAGCAGGTAGACAGCCACTCACACTTGCACAATTGGAATAGAGATTGGTGTGTGAGCGGAACCAGTTGCCTCAGGCATTCTTTCCGACTCTAGTGAACTCAATGAGGCCACGCTGCACGGACAGTGTGCAAGCTCAAGGAGGCTATACGTGCTACTAATGAGACTGTCACTTTTTGCGTTCAGGGGTATCTCCATTTGACGGACTGTGATCAGTTTGAACTTATTGCAATTCAATGTCAACAGCAACTTTTAGTTGTTAAATTAACAGTGTTTGCTATAGAATAAGTGATTAAACATAATTTTGCTTGTCTCCTGTTCAAAAACTTGACAGAAAGCAAGACTTGCGTTTCTTTTGCTCTTCAGTATATTAACTATATATACACACACACACAAATATCAAACCTTTACAAGAAAAAATAAGCATTGGACTTCATAGCACTGAATGAACTACATTTTATGTTAGCACTGAAAAGCATTACAATTAAAGTCCAACTAAATGTGACATAGAATCAGCAAATTCCATCGAAGTTTTCACACCGTTTGCAAGTAGAGACTTCTGACGCAGGATTTCATCATCGATGTTTCGATACTTCTTCTTTTGGGGGGCCTGCTTAGCACCAAGTAGAATCTGAACTATTGTCATCTCAGTGTGGCTGTGCTCTTTCCGGATAAGAGCAATGAATCTATATATATTGGGATGGTTCTGGCCAATTTTCTAAGTCTTGCATGCCAGCCTTCGACATGATTTGTGGTCGTGGCACCCGGTTGGATGGTTGCGGGACAGCCTGCCTTGCAACATCTCCAATGTATACTGGTGTTGCGTCTCTTCCGTATTCTGAGCTTATAACCTTGATAGACGAGATTTCGCCCACCTTGTGTATTAGGAATGAATTCTAAAACCCTTTCTTTTGTAATATATAGCTGTTAACAACATGAGTTTTATTCAGTGACATTAATTGAACAAGGGTAATTGGTGACTTGATGCCAGTCTGACAATCTATCAGTTTGGAATCCCTCCTAGGCCATGAGTTTAGTTCATGAGACGACCCCTTTCCTTTTAACAACATCACTAATCCTAATCCTCTATAGGCTGCCTGCACAGTGAGGATAAACCTTTAATTTCACTCGAAGTGTAACGACCGACCTGAAAGGTATTACAGTTTAATCCTATTGGATGCCTGCCTCTGTCGTTCATAAGTCAAGATGTCAAGACAACCTATAAACAATAACCACCTCAAATATATGAGAGCGACATTAACATTGGTAATAAATATGAACAACATTTGATAAGAAATCATTATTTGGTCGAGTACCTGTGATATACTATATGATACGTTTTAAATACTACTTGCTATGGTGTTAACTTAATATATATTCTGGGTATATTTAGATGGAAAAGAGATATTGAACAAGAGGTAGGGAACATTATATTGTTTTGTAGTGGAGACTGAGAACAATGTCGGAGTCGAAATCTGTGACCTATTTACATGTTTCGGGTATGCAGTTTACTAATGCATGTTTTGCTAGTGCGTATGTGCCGCACCTGAAGAAAGGTATATATATATATATTCGAATTTGTAACATGGTGGTTTGTTAATTATGCTTGTTTGATTGTGAGGGAAACACGTTTGTATGTTTGATTTCAAGCAGTGAAAATACAGAAAGCACAATAAACGCAACGAAAAGGCAAATTATAGTGTTGTGAATGTAGACTGTGGTTACCTCTAAATTAAACCCGTAAATTAAACCGCGCGTGAATGTAACACGGATTTATTCAAGTTCGTCGTAGTCTTGATGACGTTCGAGTGAGACAGAGCAAAGCGCTAAAGAAATGATTGTCTGAAGATGGATCTTGATACTGTTATTTTTCAACAATATTGACATAGAGAATATAAATTAAGTTATATTTGGGAGAACACTTTCAGTCAATTGTTCTGTTCAGACGTTTTACATCATCTGCTTTCGTGTTAGGGCGTGTATTGATGTGCCTGGTAGGTATACACGATACTGAGTGAGACGTGTGACAGTCTGAAGGACTTTTAGTGTTTCATGCGTTGATTTCAGGTCTGAAGGTTGAAAGATGACTGTTACCCTGTCCCTTTCGTTCCAACTGAGGCCATAACTTGTAATAGTGCTGGTGATTAATGTCCTTTCCCTATACATGCATCATCCTTGGTATTGACAAGGAAAGACATTTCGCCCATACCAAATAAGTATATTGCATATTAAAACGTATGGTAATTTCTAGATATGCACGCATTTCCTAGATGCACACTTTCCACGGATATAATTGGCCTCTTACATGAAAGTCTAGTTTTATAACCAACTTTACAGTACTACCGTGTGATAAGAGGCCCTATGCATCACTCGAAACGTTTCATTTTTCTAAAGTGAGGCAAGATGTTTACGTTGTCCTTTACTTTTTTCGTGTATGGATGTTTTTATTTACCTTTATTCTGTTTGTAGCATAAAGTAAGCATATAAACGCTACACTATAGACGTCTCCATTAATCTTTATACGTTGGGCTGAGCAGCACCAAAGCAATGTATTGTGCTGTATTGCTGAAGACCTCATACTACCCACCATCTAACAATGCAATATAATTATATTTGTCAGTACATTCTTTGTCTTTGTAAGTTTGATGACGAACGGAGATTCTTCTGCGATCTTCTGAATGAACTTAATTGTATATGCAGAGATGATCCATAGGCTTGTCGTAATGGCTGTTCATATTGACTTGAATGGGTTTTTTTCACAATGAGTTTTCTTCTGCAATCATCTGTTAACCACAAGAGATCAACCATTTATTTATTCCGAGGGATTTAATCAAAATAATAAATAATCCTAAATATGTTTTAAAACATGCTAATGCTTCCAGACTGTGAAGTAAGACACGATTGCTGACTAACATTGTTGCAAGGTGTTTTTCATAAATAAATATTTAGGCTCGAAATATCAAATGGTCGATCGCTGATGAAAACTATGAAATGGGCCAAATTGAATATGACTTTTTATTCGTTACAAATACAGATTTTTGAAGAACTGAATAAATGTAACAAAACACAAACGTTCCAAAGTTAGACGTTACTAAATAATGCAATTCGTTCAGAGAACTTGTAAACTGATCTGGGATTTACGCACGTCAAGAAAGGCCCGTGCTTCACTAACTTTTTAATACAAATACAGTATATGTATATAAAATTCAGTTATGATTGGGGAACATACTTCATCGTGATTTGACAACACGGGGGTTGATATCATGTGACCATTATCATGATCTGACGGCCATATGTACTCAGAAGTTAATGTTTACAGAACTCTTATGTCATGATATTTCAATTGTCAGGTCCAGACTTGACTATTTACAGACCAACGCCATATAGCTGGAATATTGCTGTGCGCAGCGTTAAGCAACAAAGATTACAGTGTGTGTGTGTGTGTGTGTGTGTGTGTGTGTGTGTGTGTGTGTGTTGTGTGTGTGTGTGTTGTGTGTTGTGTGTTGTGGCAAATCAAGTCATAAATCGAATGAATTGAAGGGGTATTTTGAGTGTCGTCTTGAGATATGACACTTTTCTCTATCCAACAGTAAAATAATCTCTTCAGGGTCACATTGCCCCTTACTTGGTTGTAAACGTTGAACAAGGCTCAAATTTGTATTCTAAACATCAAGCTGCCTTTTCAGTTGCAAATTCGACAATACAAAATTCGATTAAATCTTCAGTTCTTCTGTTCTACTAATCACAGAATTCAACAACGCTCCTCCCAGAACCTAGAAAAGCGAGCGGGAAAACGCGGTGAAAAGAGATGACATGACAACCCCTAGGCTATTTCAGAAACTGCTCCCCGCTGCCTTTGTAGATCACTTCATATCATCTGTTGGGCCATTTGTGACTCTGTCGACTCAGGCTCCGCAATTAGCAGTGCAGAGTTGCGTCCCTTGGGTATGCCATAAACAAATGACCATTCAGATACCAGATCTGTCAGAAGCTTGATCGTGCCCATGGTTTCACGAGCGTTAACATCTGAGACCTGCGTCATTCTGGGATTCCCATTCACATTAAGCTGACAGGCTGTGCATAACTGTATAACTGTAAAGGCGTTGTTTAACTCACTCACTCATATATTTTGTATAACTCTGTATAGCTACAACAAAGGAAAGCGTACAGGCAGAACATACATGTATAAACGCAACCAACAGAAAATGCCTCTTCAATTTTCTGTGTATCAGCAAATGGTAATATGGGAATGATTGGCCGTACTTGCGAGGTGGCAATTATAGTATTTTAATATTGTCACGATGGACTGTTAGTGCACTTAGTCAATAATAAAGACGGCTTGAATCGTTAAAGTTCCATGTTTTTGTTTGAACAGCACCGTGAGCGTAGTCTTGGGAGGTGGTTGTTATGTTGTGGACTCATCATCAATGGAATCCTGCAGGCTTCTGGAGTTCGCAGGTTGCCATTCATCATCAGGTCTCAAGGCAAGACGTACACTCTGTCAACGAAAGCGAATTCCTATCACACATGTCGTTTCATTAGCACATATATGTAAATTGGCTTGTCGGTTTGATTTTTCATCTGTACTTAGTTTGCAAACTGCAAACATATTATAAACATTTTAAAGCGTTGTACAGCTGTACACCAGTTGGTTAAAAGCAGAGTGGTACGGAAGCAGTAGCAAACTAATGACCTAAAGGACAGCCCAAGGATTTGGATGACTTGGTGTGACGTCAAAGGGTCTTTGCAGAGAACACACATCACTGACAGCTGTCATCACAGAAATCGAACTCAATTGGGAATCTAATCATCAGTTTTGGGGTCTCGGGTAAAGCGCCCCATACTATCAGATCGTCGCCCGATCCACACTTTAGCAACTGTGCTAATAGTTAATACAACTGAGAGCTCAACAATATCATGTATATGTATAGCACTCTGTTTTATTGGCCATATCATAAAGGACAAGATCAGGCTTGGATGACCCTGGACACGACTGATGCTGTGTACGGGTCTATTCAGAACAAAGTTATAGTGAGTGAGTGAGTTAAAAAAATTATCGTCTCATCGGCAATATTTCAGCCATATCGTGGCGAGAACAATTAATTGTTATACATACTATTTAAAGGTAAATTATAAAAACCTGTCAACAAAGGACAGTAAAATAACTAGAATATCACAGATATGAATCTAAAACAAGTAATACAAACTAAAACAGTTTAACTATGGATTACAGTAAAATATAAGAACAGGCTATAGATTGCCAACAACTGAAGGTAGATCACCATACTAGGGACCATGGGGACTTACAGTACATTTGCTTCCTGCATGGGCCACAAAGTTATAGTAAACAATTTCCATTCAGCGCACTTCATATTCTTGGTCTTACTGCTGACATTTTGCCAATCAACAAGCACGGCGAAATAGGCCATCGTGTCGTTTTAAATACTGTTTGGACCAAAACAGGTGTGAGTTGGTGAATGAGTGAGAGAGTGGGTTAAAATTCCACATCGGCAGTATTTCAGCATATCGAGACTACATATTAATAAAAGCCAACTTAAATACAATATAGTCCTCCGTGGCAGCGGTACAAGAATCTATATCGAAACATCGCACTCACGACATAAACAAGTTGCTATCCATAAATGTTGTCTATATTGTACTTCCCAGCTTCTAAAAAGCCACTCAAAGAAGTTGATAAATATCTGAAAGACAAAATGATCAGAGAATGTTTCTTAAAACTTGAACCTAACGATATTTTTACACCAAAAAAACCCAATCACGGGGACCAGCGCAGGACATCCACTGACTAGGAGTAGGACAGTTCAGTTGAGCCCATAGCCTAGTCTACATTTCATGTTAACATTGCGATGCAGGGTTGATGTTAATATCTTTATTTAATATTCGATACAGTTTAAGAACAAGTGTGTGCTACCTTCTTCAGGGAATTGGTCGCCATGTGCTTTCTGACAGTCATGACCATGTAGACTGGTATCGGTAGAAGGGGCAGCACTGCAATAATCCAGCCGATTGTAGAAGCATAGCTAGGAAACTTGTACTTGCCGTAGGTTGGTGGTTGGTAGCGGAGAAGTGTCAAGATGAAAGTGATCTGGATATGAAACAAGGATATCACAAGCAGACTTTGAAAAGGGTAACAAGTGTAATTAGTGTGTATTTGGCTCCGGTATATTTCCAGAGACGTGTTTATTGAGATAAAGTTTAATCTTAAAGACGTGTTGTTAATGCGATGTTCTAACATCAAACTAACTTTAAACTTGTTCCCGTTGGGGCAGAATGAGCTCACCTTTCAGTCAAGTCCCCATATGATTTTATTTTCCTATAATTAGTATATAATCTGATAAACGCACCCAACGGATAGACTCTAAATCGTGATTTATGGTGATTGAGTATGGAAATGTTTTGTATTTTAACAACATCATGAAGAAGCCTGTAATGGCAACAGGTCCAAGCGTGAGTGAGTGAGTTAAAATTTAAAGTCACTTTGGCAATATTTCAGCCATACCGTGACTAAATCAAGTTATAGATTAATATATATTAATTACAATAAAAACCTGTCAACGAAGGACAGTAAAACAACTGGATTATCACAGGTTGAAATTTATAACTAGTAACCAAATCTAAAACATTTAACTATACACGACAGTACAATATAAAACCAGGCTATAGATTGCCAACAACTGAAGGTAGATCAGCATACTAGGGACCATGGAACAGGTCCAAGAGCACTTGATAACAGACTGTATATACAATATTCATACAACGAGGTGGCGGTGGTTGGAAAGCTGCTCAGACGAGTCATATGCTATCATAATAATGATGAGCTTCTTTCACATACTTTGTAAGCAAGTATGTACCACATGTCTATTTGAGACGTGAAAGCCATCATTGTACCGTGCAACTGTTTTGTACTTACTATCAAGATTGTCGGCGTTACCAGAGCCCAGAGGATCTTTACAGACATCGGCAGTGGCTTGCCAATCATCATCTCAACGTCTTTACTGATTCGTCTTATACCTGACAGAACATATGTTTACACATATGTTCACATTGAAGACAAACATTGTAAGTTCATGTGTGTTCATAACATATTATTTTGTGCAATTGTATTCATATTATACTCTATTAACATTATGACTATGCTACTACCGGTTTGCTCTCTACCCCATGGATACAATCCAAGTAATATGTTTACAATGTCCTTTTTCTTGTAAATAAATTTTGAAGTTTAAAGATACAGTGACGAACTATACTATTCACACTTCGCTAAGGATCAAATATTGATTCAACAGGAAAACTATGGTGTGGGGTCAAATGTGGTTTATATATCTAAGCCTATTGTAATGGATCCAAGTTTTCAGTATGTCACTGCATCTTGTGGATCCCCTACCTGCTATTGAAAGGTGTTGTGTACTTGTCATGTGTACTTGTCATGTACTTGTCATGTGTACTTGTCATGCCATGATTTGCAAAATGGTTGGTTGGTGCCATGAAAACCATTTTATGGTTACCCATGTATCAAATGCATAGGGTTAGCTTAAAGTGGCTGTTTTCCTAAAGAAATGTTACCATATCATTATTTATCCAGTTTTAAATGGATACAATTTCAAATTCTAAATCTACGTTTAGATAAAGTTGCGATTTCTTGTGATCCTTAGGAAAGTGTGAGTAGTATATATATCGTGATCTACGAGTGAGTGAGTGAGTTTAGTTTTACGCCGCACTGAGCAATATTCCAGCTATATGGCGGCGGTCTGTAAATAATCGAGTCTGGACCAGACAATCCAGTCATCAACAGCATGAGCATCTATCTGCGCAATTGGGAACCGATGACATGTGTCAACCATGTCAGAGAAACTGACCACCCCATCCCGTTAGTCGCCTCTTACGACAAGCATAGTCGCCTTTTATGGCAAGCACATGGGTTGCTGAAGACCTATTCTATCCCGGATCTTCACGGGTCCGTGTTCTACGATCAGAGTAAGAGTGCCGTTCCACTAACCGATCTTAGCCCAACGCCAATCGTAAACCCCTAAAATCCCAATCTTAGCATGACGTTACGATCGGCATACTGTTCCACTAACCAATATTACCTAAGTCAATCGTAAAGTTAAGATTCTAAGTCTAAGTTGCTCATGACCAACTTAGGATACCTAAAATCAATCGTAGAGAAACCAAAATGGTGGCCTTCCTATTCTATGTGAAAAATAAGAGCGAGCATTTCAACGTGAGCGTCCCCTAAAATCCCCCTTGAAATGAATTTGTATATTTCTGTGATGTAAACAAACACTGCACTGAAGCCTTACAAATGTCAGGCCAGTCTGACCACTGTCGTCATGGGAACACAACCGAGCGAGTCGGTGTAACACATTTGTACAACAATATTGCAACGTCATGGTTAAGAATAGGGACGGGTCATGAAGTGAACAATGTTGTGAAACAAAAAGATACAAATATGTTTGATTTCAAGTGCACTTATTTGGTTGGGGATTCTAAAGGCAGGCCGCGTGTTATTCAAGACCACTGACAGATTCTAGATACGTTATAGAGGATGCCTCGTCACGCCTTGTTTATTCTGATTGACAAGGTTCAGGCACATAGTAAAAGCTCTGACACAATTGACATTTTTCAAGTCCAGACTTAAAACCTGTTCTCAGTATATTACTTATAATCTCGGCTGTAAATACTCTCGTGTAAATTATAGTACATAGCGCTTTGAGCATGCCCGAGGATGTGGAATAGGCGCACTATAAATATGCATTTATTATTATTATATTATGCCTGATACCCAGCGTTCACACGCACTTGCACCTGAAACCAAGGTGCTCACTACCCTAATATTATGCTCTAGGTTTTTTCTCCACGTTTACACTTGGTTGGAAAAATACCTCATGAAGGCCCGGGTTAGAATATTGAACTTCAATAACCCATGCTTGTCGTAAGAGGCCACTAACGGGATCAGGTGGTCAGGCTCGCTGACTTGGTTGACACATGTCATCGGTTCCCAACTGCGCAGATCGATGCTCATGCTGTTGATCACTGGATTCTCTGGTCCAGACTCGATTATTTATAACTAAGATACCTAGTGAACGCTATGCATCTTAGCTAGATTTTTTACAGACCGCCGCCATATAGCTGGACTATTGCTGAGTGCGGCGTAAATCTAAACTCACTCACTCACTCAGTTGGTTCGTAAACTACTTCGATCATTTGCTAGACTATGCAAAGGGAGATAACTCGTGCCTCGCATTCCTCTATCTCTCGCACGAAAGAGTCTCGATCTAGACTTGGATCAGATCGTAAGATCGGGACCGGCTACGATCGGTCCCGATGATCGGGTAGTGGAACGGGTGAAACTTTTAGCTAAGACGATTGTAAAATTGGCGTAACTTGCTTAGATTGATCTTAGATAAGATCGGTTAGTGGAACGGCACCCAGGACATTTTATCATCAGTTTGAATACGTCTCTATCTTGAACATATGTCTTGAAGACATACTTATAGCAACGGAAAAAAACTCCAACTTGCTCAACGAATAAAAGCTACAGAGAACGAGTTTCAGGATTCCATCAACTTTGTCAGATCTTTTACTTCTAAAACCAGTATTCTCTTTATGAAATGAGTTGTTTAGTAAATGTTTTCAAGGAACTGTTGTATCCAACTGAAAGGAATAGAAAACCACGGGTGAAAGATATTTGCTTATGGTGACCTGTAAGTCCATTCTATGCTAGACAATCCAGTAATTTATATTATGAGCAGCAATGACCGCTGACATACAAAAACTTAAATCATGATCACTTGATCCATTGAGTCAATTTTAACAGTTAGCATATATACTTGATACACATAAATTGATGTACGCACCATATATCCACGACACGACAAGACACTCCATTGTACTTATCACCATGGGTCCGAGAGACAACACATACCAATCGACCAGCTGAAACATGTACGGCCCTCCCTGCAACAGGAAGTCCATATCGTCCTTCAAACATTATCCAACGTCTACTGTCACAACAACAACAACAACAACAACAACAACAACAACAACAACTACTACTACTACTACTACTACTACTACTACTACTACTACTACTACTACTACTACTCCTGCTACTACTATTACTACTACTACTACTGCTGCTGATGCTGCTGCTGCTGGAGAGCTGCTGCTTTTGCCCTTGACATTACAGCCGTCTACAGCTAGCACAATCGTTTCGTCTTCAAATACATGTACCACTGCCACAACAATGACCTTTTTGGACCTACTGAATTGTTCAACAGGTAAGCATAGTGACCTGGGTACAGAAGATGAGTCCAATCAGAAATACTGTCAGGCAGCATCCTCCTGTTAGAAACATCCTCTTCTTGCTCAGCTGCTGCGGATACTGGTCAATCAGGGCAGTAATAACGACTTCAGTACTCAGGAACTGGAAGGACAACAGTGGACGGTGTAGTTCGATGCAAACCAGCAATATGTTCATAAACATCAGTGTTGTCCAGTTGTATTTTACTCTGAATGCCAATATTGTTAATATTGCGATATTGAGCTGGAAATGTCGTTTAACATAACCTTCAGACATATTCCATCAACGGCATTGCTACTTGTAGATAATATACTGAACATGTAATCAGTAATTATTGTTTGTGCGTTTTCACTCCACGCTCAGCTTGAGATAGAGCTTTGGAGAAAAATAAAAGTTTATGAACTTGTTCAGGATATGTGTACAAAAGTCTGTGATATCCGTTGTGTGTTTGGTGCTGTTTTACATCAGCACTGCCTAGGCTGCACACTATTCCACATGTGAATGTGCCATTTAAATAATCGAATCTGAACCAGACAAAGCATTGATCTAGTTAATGCTTCAGAGAAGATGTCACGCCCAATTGGTTACTACAAGAAAAAGCTGATGGAGACCTGGCTAGCTATTCTCGAAACGTTCGTAGCCCTACGGACTACTTAAGCCCATTCTTAACACATTGGCTACGATCCAAGTTAAGAATTCGTAGTGCTACGAACGTTTCGAGAATATGGCCCTGATCTAAACTGGAATCCTTAATCCCCAGGCACTGACACTCACTCAGTTTCGTTACTGCCAGAATAGGCTGTAGACTGCTCTAATCTAGAATCCCTAATCCCAAATCGAAAAGGGCAGCAATATTCTGCCATGTTACATTTGGACCACATTTTTTCTCAGCTATCACGATGAATTAGAACATTGAATTGAACACTACATATTGTACCTGTGAATCCAAACCAACCATGAACAACATCAGAAAGAACATGAATGACCACAGCTGAGGGACCGGAAGTTGTGCAAGAGCGTCTGGATAGGTCACAAATCCCAAATCTGGATCTTCAATAGAGACGTAATATGAAGATATGGATCATATATAACTATGTATGATATGGCCAGATATGGATCTATCGTTTTGGCAACAACTTTTAGTTTATACTCAAGATGAGACTGGTTCCATTTTACATGCGGGCCTTGAGTACCTTACCCAATATGTTATCATTAACACTGTATCATCGCCTGTATGTCACAGTCGTGCCATTTCGTGGGTCTATTGTTAATCGAAAGTGGGTAATTTTGCCAATAAGTTTAACTGAAACTTCAGGTATATAAATGATCTGTTATCAGTCAATAGCAATAAAAGAGCCAATTCGCTTCCACTGATTTACCCACCTGAACTTACAATAATATGTATCAGTGAGACCACTTTATTTGCATTACATTTAGATCCATTCAAAAAGGTTCAGAGTAAAAAATATGGTTAAATATTCAGAGGGATGACAATTTTTCCTTTTTGTCAATATTCCAACACCTCCAGCCTTTACTGTTTACATTTAACAACCTTCGAGGTGCAATCCCGCCTCACATGCCTCTTGGTCAGAAGTTCTTGGGTCAAAGTTACAACATTCAAGATGTCAGGAAGTGTTTTATGGTAGATTTATTGAGAACATGTTACAGTTTGATGCATCACTATTTAATAGTGATTCATAAGCACATGCTCAGAAAATATTTGGAATTAGATAAAATCTACTCTGCCTTGAACACGGATTTATTATGGATAGAGAACAGGTTTGGTCGCTTTTGTATATTGTTATTTAAATAATCTACATGTAAACACAAGGTAAGTGCACAATCAAACATTTTGTAAATCTAAAATTTACCGCCGTTCTGGAAGGTTATGTTCAGTGACATTTGAGGAAATACTACTGCATGTTTTAACGTGTATCCTTATACTGTGCCCCCTGATTCAACTGTCCCAAACACAATACGCCACTGGACTCTGATAACTAGTTATGAAACATTGTATTCAGCAAGGAGGAATCCTTTAAAACACTTTTCAGGATCAAAAAGTATCATACGAGCCTTGTAGCTTTGGAGTACTACCTATCAGTTACATAGGAAGACCCATCACTTTCCTTTATTCTTTCTTAAAACTGGAGTTTGTTTTTATCATACAAAAACAGATTACCTACCCCCTGAGACAACAGTTTCAATGGGAACTCCCGTTTTCTGTGACATGACTCCGAGAGCAGCGAAGGTCACCAGGCCACAGAAGATACTGGTTCCTTCTGAGACAATCGTCAGTATGATACTATCTCTGTAAATATAACACACAAATTTCAGTTTTATACCCATCTTTTCCTTATAATGCCACCGGTATTTTGCAAAGGTGACCTGCATACTTTGAGAAGGTTTCCTTAACATTGCAGTGATAGAACAAACGTCCATGTCCTAAGTGGTTGTTAGTAATGCACGCAAAAGTAATAACCAACCCTGTTGTAATCAATTAATCATGTGAGGTTTCAGTTTGATACTTTTTCATGTTACCGCACTGGTGTGTTAGTAACTCACCGGAGACATGGTTCATGGAAGTTGTTGTAGCTCGCAGCAGTGCCAATCATCCCACAACCAACACCCAGTGAATAGAACACTTGCAAACATGCTTCCAGCCACACCTGTGTGAAGTGGTAGTGTAACCGGGTTTTCTTGGCTTTATCTATTATTTTATACAGATGACACCAAGACAGCTACGGGGTGTGAGGCTTACGTTTATTATATACGATAGTCACCCTGTAATAAGAAACAACAGATAATATAGTATATGCATATTAAACATAATATAATATTATATATCATATCATCATCAAAGCAATACAATCATTTCTGTTACATTACTTACAACTATGTATTATTAGATGATACGATAGAAAATGCTTACAGTACATATTAAGTAAAATGGTTACACATACCCCATGTGTGGCACAAGGGTGAAAAACGTGATACCCTTGAAATGTCACCATTCATGATATGTCCTGCAGAAGAAAAGAGCAGGAATAAATACTTAGAGTGACTAAATACACTGAATAACAAAATGCACAGCTTATGCAATTCCATTAATGTAGATATACTAGTAACTTAGCATGTATACAAGATAATATTAAAATACAGTATTGCTTAGGTTTAAAGTTCAGCCTCTAAACCACATTCATTCAAAACATTAATAGAAATATATAATTCAATGTAAATATAATTACTTCTTAGATGCTTATTTATAATGCATAATCTTTGATTACTATTTAATCCTATTTAGAAATAAAGATGAATTATAAACTAACCTTTTGTGGTGATCTGTGAATACTCCCAGTGCAGTGCATAGTGAAATGGCAATATGGAGTTAGTCAGAGCAAGAAGGTAAAGTTTAAATTTGGCCAATCACAGGATCGCTTGGGGTGTGATTGATCAGCAGAGGGCTGGACAAAGAATGTAGTGGAGCTTGGGTTGTGATTGATCACTGAGGCCTGGGCTTAGAATGACAAACACACACCTCTGTTGAATAAAGTTCAACAGAAACAAAACTTGAAATATATTTATTTACAAAAATAAGACTAAAATACAAATATATACACCTGCTACACACTTCCCCCCCCGGGATGAAAATGATGTCCTCATCATTTGCCTAAAACAAGGGAGAGAAATGCATTCTGTACATCAGTACTGTCGTTGGCGAGCATTCCAGCGTTGATAAGAGAACTGAGATACTCAGCTCTGATCTTCCAGTCGGGATGTGGAACTGCAGACATTACATACTCACCGCTAGACATCCACCGTGGCTGTGTCCGAGTCCTCCCTGATCTTCTGGGTTGCTGTGCCGGCACATCTTCAACTGACTCAGGATCATCTTCCACATTGGCAGGTTCTTCTGGGGCTGCACCAGGATCTGCGTCAGTGGTCTCCACATCTGATGTCCTCTCTGCAGCAGGATCAGCCTCAGCTGAAATATCTTCAGGCTGGTCTGGCTGGCTCCCAACTGCGTCTCCAACTAAATCGTCTTCGTCCAATGCAAAGTCTTCAACTTCTGCTCTAGCCTCAGTTGGCCTATCAGCTATATCCGCAGCTGACACTGACGGCTCAGACGATGGGAAATATATGTCTGACTCGTCATCCTCTGGTTCCTCGACTGGAACAGCAAGTCTCTTTGATCTTCTTGGTTTCGGGATAGGTCTCGGTGGCTCTGGTGCTAGTGAATCCGGTACAGGGAGTGCACCAATGGGAAGTAGAAGATTCCGGTGTAAAACTCTCTTCCTACCTTCACCATTCTCCTTTCCGACCACATAGACAGGGATGGAGGGGTTCGGTTGACGAAGAACTGTATAAATGTCACCTTCCCATCTGTCTGCTAGTTTGTGTCTTCCTTCAAAGGCGACGGTTTTAACCAGAACTCGGTCACCAGTCTCTATAATTGCTGCTCTTGCCTTCTTATCAAAGTAGGTCTTCTGATCCTGCTGTGCCTCCTTGCTGTTCTGTGAAGCTAGATGATATGCCTCTTGGAGTCGATCTCTTAATGACTTTGTGTACTGCTGCAGTGACTTGGGCTTGCTTGGCTGGATGTCAAGTCCAAATGCTAGATCCACTGGAAGTCTTGGGTGACGCCCAAACATAAGGAAGAAGGGGGAATGTCCGGTAGACTCATGCCGAATGCAATTGTATGCATGGACTAAGGGTCCAACATGAGCCTTCCAGTCCCTCTTGGCGTCTGGTTCCAGAGTCCCCAACATATCACATAGGGTCCGGTTGAAGCGTTCACACATCCCATTACCCATGGGATGGTAGGGTGTTGTGGACGACCTATTGATCCCAAGCAGCAGGCACAGCTCTGACATCAGCTTACCAACAAAATTGGCTCCTTTGTCGGAATGAATCCTCTTGGGCAGACCGTAATGGATGATAAAGTTGTTGAAAAACAAGTCTGCTGTCGTCTTGGCTGATGTATTCCGACAAGGATAGGCTTGAGCGTACCGGGTGAAATGGTCAGTAATGACCAACACATACTGTTGACCACCCTTGGATGGCTCCAGAGTCAAGAAGTCCATGCAGACCAGTTCCATAGGCTGCAACGTCTGGATGCTCACCAAAGGGGCTCTGATGGATGTGTTTCCCTTCCTTTTCAGACACCTCTCACATATCTTCAGGTAGTCATCTACATCCTTGGTCATACCAGGCCAGTAGAAACGTTCCTTGAGTAGGGATAAGGTCCGATCTCTGCCTGGATGTCCTACACGATCATGCAAGCTTCTGAGTGCTGAAATCCTACATCTGGAAGGTAGCACTAGCTGTTCTTGATCACATCCATCCATGCTGGTGACTCTATATAACACACCTTCCCTCAAAGTCAAATGTGCAAATGTCTTCAATAAAGTAGTCATCTCTGGGTCTCCTTGGAACTGAGTTCTGTCAGGTCTTGTGGCATTCTCCAGATGCTCCATGATAACAGCAAGGGATGTGTCCTTCAGCTGAGCACGGCGCCAATCCTTTGCGTTGGCAGCACACACATGGTCACTTACATCTGCTTCAATTCCTGGAACCACTTCTGTAGACAAGCACAAACTCTCAACAAGATTAGGTGCACAAATCTTGTTACAAATAGCACTCACCACATCACGAGACAGGTCTTCCATCTGGACTGGGTCTTTGCTGGGCAAACGAGACAACACATCAGCATCAACGTTGTTCTTCCTGGTCGGTACTTGATGGTAAAGTTGTAACTTGCTAGAGCAGCTAACCACCGATGTCCTGTGGCGTCCAGACGTGCTGTAGTAAGTACATACGTCAGGGGATTATTGTCGGTCATTACTACGAAATCATTGCCATACAAATAGTCGTGAAATTTCTCTGAAACGGCCCATTTCAGACACAAAAACTCGAGTTTATGCGCTGAATAGTTCCGTTCAGATCGATTCAAACCCTACTTGCATAGGCAATAACTCGTAGGTGACCATCATGCTCCTGGTATAAGACTGCTCCTAGGCCATGGGTACTAGCATCAGTGTGCAGCTCGAAGGTCTTGAGAAGTCAGCAAACCCAAGGACTGGAGGTGATGAAAGTCTGTTCTTCAACTCCTGGAAAGCTTCTTCTTGAGCAGGACCCCAGTTCCAAGCAGTTTGGGATGTCTTAGACCTCGACTTCTTGGTGGCACACTTCGGCATAAGTTCTGAGAGGGGTCTGGCGATCTTAGAGAAGTCCTGGACGAATTTCCGATAGTATCCAGCAAATCCCAAGAATTTCCGGATGTCTTCTGGAGTAGATGGTGTTGGCCAGTGCTGAATCTTGTCTATCTTCTCTGGATCAGCTTCAATCCCCTCAGCAGACACAATATATCCAACGTACCTCACCTTTCTCTTAAAGAACTTGCATTTCTGTGGGGCGAGCTTCAATCCACATTCTTGTAATCTTCTAAAGACGAGCTCCAGCCTCTCCACATGCTCCTCGTATGTCCGGGAAAATATGATGAGGTCATCTATGTATATAAGGCAGATCTTCAAGTTGAGTCCCTCTAGGCACTTCTCCATAAGGCGCTGATAGGTCGCTGGGGCGTTTGACAAGCCGAACGGCATCCTGTTGTACTCGAAAATCCGAGTGGACCTACAGTAAAAGCCGTTCTCTCCTTGTGGTCATCATCTATCTCAACTTGGTAATAGCCGCTCTTCATATCCAGCACTGAGTAGAACTTGTTCCCTCGAGACAATCTAAAAGTTCTTCAATTCTCGGGAGAGCATAACTGTCCTTAATTGTCCGGTTGTTCAGCTGGCGAAAATCTATACATAGACGTAAACGGCCATCTTTGCGCTTGGCTAACACAACGTTGGAAGCCCATGGACTATGAGAGTGTCTAATCACACCAGAGGACAACAGTTCTTGAAGATGACTCGAACCTGATCATACATTGCTGGTGGTATACGCCGATGTCTCTGCTTGAAGGGCACGTCATCATAGAGTTCTATCCGATGCTTGACCATGTTGGAATGTCAAGATCTTTATCATGTTTAGAAGATGTCACCATATCTCCTAATAACCTCCAGTCCCTGTGCAGCTTCATCATGTGTAAGTCCATCTTCCTCCAACTCAATGTCGTCAATCCACTTCTCAGAGTCTGAACATCTCATGTCTGGTAGGTCTTCTATTGTCACAGGTTGAAGTTCACACAGCAGAGCCTTAGTTGGAACAATCATGGTCTGGGTAGTAACATTAGACACATGAACTTGTATCTCATCTGGTCTGTCATGGCAGTATCTCACAACGACTGGTATGATGTCTAAGTCCTTAGAAATAGTAGAGTCTACAGTTGGCTGTATAAGGGCACACACTTGTGGATATGGAATCCCTTTGCACAGTTGTCCACGGATGATGGCAGAACCATTAGCAGGTATGATTACAGGCTTATATTCAATGGATCTAACAAAGCCCAACTTCCCACCATTCTTCTCTAACTCCTTCTCTCGAAGCATCATACATCTAAAGGCCAGGTACCAAGGTGTGTAGAGGTTGGCCGTCTGAAGGAATCGGATTCCATTAACCTTTCTGCAGGCATCCAAAAGCACTCCAAGAACATTAGTCCCAAGAAGAG